AATGCGATCGACGTGTGAGATGGATCCGGCAGCTAACAGTGCAGATCTTCGCGACGACGAAAGCGAAGAAAGCGAGGAATGGCTAAAATTTTACTTATAATTACACCTATTATACATCTGAGGGCATCTTTCACTTCCTAAACTACCTTATTATTATTATAAATTTACCTAACAATGCCACTATCTCGATTGCTGGAGTGATCTTCTCCTCCATCAGAACTACGAAGGGAGGAGCGCGCTGAGCTATATCCGGTTGATGAAGAGACGAACGAGAGTCTTGCAGGATCCTAAAACGAGAATTGTAGTGTGCAAAGAAAATATACAAACCAAAGGAAAAACTGCTGTTTCCAGTTTTAGACACTTCTGCTAGTCTTAATTCTTACGCTAAAGCTACTCAGCAAAACGCATAAACAACGCATTCCCATTTTCTTTGATTTGGTTTATACTCTGCCCTCGTAATCGTATAGCATTAAGACATGGCCATTAGTAGATGATTATGGTACCGGTTCTGCTGGAATTAAGGACTCGACTAAGAAAGATAGGCATGCATAGAGCCTCGACAAGAACTGAAGTTATCTCGTCAGCATGTTTGAGCTCCGACACATAGGATAAATTTGGCAAAAAAGATGAGTAATGGCGTATATACTGTGTGCTTGTTCCTGAGAGATTATTGGTAAGATTTTAAGAACATGAACGTATGTCCGATAATCTACTTGAAGCTGCATCTACTATAAAAAGAATTCTGACCAATTTTGAATGTATATGTTCACAATCTCATATAAACCCTCTACAAACCCCCTCTCCTGCCCTGCAAGAAAAAGTTTGTAGAGAGAATATATGTGATTTAGAGTTTTTATGTGACAGACGCTAATTTGCTCGTTCTTTAAAATTGTATCTTTTATGTAATTAACATTTGAGTTAACCTTTTCCATTCTTAAATATCACCATTTCCTTGTCATGTTTACCTACACTATTCGACCACATACATATTTGCACAAGTAGATACTGATAAAATTTTAGAGCAAATTTGATGGGGTCAACATGATTGCTGTTCGTATCGCGAAAAAAATGTTGCTTTTAAGAAGCATATTTTTGTTTAAAAAAATTAGAAACTTTTCAATCAGCAATCCACTTTGTGTTGTTCAAACTTATACAAGATGTCCCAACATTATACTACCACTTTTCGTCTTTTGCTCTTTTTCTCTTTCTAAATGCATTTTTATTTCCTTTACTCCCTTTTCATTTTGCTCAAACGTTTGTGCTTGTGTATGAAGTCAAAAGTTTTGGGACTATTTGTGAAGGATATTCAATAGATCAAGGCAGTTCAATAATCATTTTACAATCGTTCCGTTTTTTAAATAAAATCTAGTGCACAATGTTTAGTAAGGACGTTACCTAGCACAATTGATGTTTTATGAGAGCTAGATAGAAAAAGTATGGTTAAGCGTTCATGAGCTGGACAACTTGAACATTAATTTACATAGGAGACTCAAGAAACAGCACCTTTGGGAAGGCGACCAGTGACATAAGATAATATATGAGTCATTTCAAAATTGATAGGGCTAAAAAAACCAACC